CCTTTTATTTAAAGATTGAATATTCAAATACAAACAACACATGCTCACAACATATCTGTTGTTGAGTCTGTTTTGCTGTAACGACACGAGAAGAGAATCGTAGAAGGCCCAAACAAGGGTCTGGAGCATCTTACGAGGAGATACTGCTAGACCTGAGCCTGTTTAGTCTAGAGAAGAACAGACTGAGAGGGGATTTCATCAATGCAGGTCAATATCTCAAAGGTGGTGCCAGGAGGTTGGTGCCAGACTCTTCTCAGTGGTGCCCAGTGACAGGATGAGGAGCAATGGTCATAAGCTAAAACACAAGTTTCACCTCACTGTGAGGAAGAACTTCTTTACGTTGAGAGTGGCAGTGCACAGGAACAGGCTACCCGGGGGTGGTTGTGGAGCCTCCCTCTCTCTCCTCATCCAAACCCAGCATGGAAATGTTCCTGTATAACCTGCTCTAGGTGGGTCTGCCTTGGCAGAGGGTTGTACTGGATGATCTACAGAGGTCCCTTCCAACCCTAATGATTCTGTGCTTTCCATCAGATTTACCTACTACCAGTCAATCATGAAGCTTTTGTAGTTTTTCACAATAACTTAAAGCACACTTACATTAAAAAGATTGTTGACAGAATTACTGAACAAACTCTCATATAGCTTAGCAGATAGTAGATATAGCTTGTATCAATCTATGTTGGTAAAGATTTTACATAGTTCTTTTTAGCAAAACCTCTCACTTGAGGCAAGCAGAACATCCATGCTGAAACTGCTGCACCTCCTCAAGACTTTCTCCAGTATAGAGGTCATTGAAAAAACCCAGGAAAATCCTTATCTTAAACCTGTACCTGTAAAATGAACCTTCTTGACTACAATGAAACCTTTTCCAGGGAGAATTGAAAGCAAAACCAGTAATAATCTTTAAAAATGCCATTTTCTCTTTTAACATTTTACATGAGCTTTACAGCTGGAGTACAGGTCAATAAAGAGTCAAATCTGGACTATGTTCTTTCAGACTGAACATACATACTGTTCTTAGGTATGGGACTCTAATGTGAGCAACTTGGTTATGCAGTTTCCGTGTGCTAGCTATGCCACTGCTCCTGAAAAAATCTGCTAGGTGTGAAGGTCTGATTAAAATGTCTCTTGATTTTAGAGTAAGAGGGAAGGGATCCCCATTTCTGATAGGTCTTTACTGAAACTGCCCTGGGAGCATGGGGAGAGGTAAAGTAAAAGGTTGTGCAAGTTATCCTTGAAGGAACAATTTTGGAGAACTGCTTGATGAAAAAGCACAAGGTCCTGTCACAGTTGTCTGAGTATACATATTCTTAAAGAGTCATGAAAACTTGTATTTAAACATCTTAGACAAATATGGTAACAAAAGTACTGCAAACATCTTAAATGAGGCATTCCTTCATGGCGTGGTGTAACCTTTTCAGCTGAATAATAACCACCTAGAAAGAAGTACTAGTAAAAAGGTACATATAAGAGTATAGTAGCTTTAGCAGAATATGCATCTGCTGGGTACAAGATACCTCCAACCTTAATTATATTTCAGAAACAGCATGTTTTTGTACTTGGTTGTGCAATAACAATGCTACCGAAAAGGGCAGTTTAAAGAAAACAATATACAAAACTCAAGAACAGAGTCTATTTGTTTTATTTCATCTTGCATTTGTGTTTGTAAAGCAAAGCATTCTATACATATTATTTAGCTATTTACTGCCATTCTACACCCATTATTGACCTAATTGCAGAAAGACAAATGCAGGAACAAACTTGTTCAAATGAGAATAGAGACAATGCTTTTCTGACTTGGGACAAATACTTATTTAAAAATAAGACAGTGCTCATGGGTTTCTTTTATTAACAGTTAATGGCTCAATTCACAGAACTTTTGAGTCACCATGGAACACGTAGCAAAATGCAATGCGATAATACATAATGTCTCTTCACTAAATATTCTGCAGAAGAAGAATACTATGGTAACAGCTGAGCTACTGATTGATCAAACACCTAAACGGAAAGAATCTGGCAAGATGGATGATACCTTTTAGATACGAGATGATCCCATACTTCTTTATGTAGGCAAAACCCCCTTCAGTGTCACAGTCATTACGAATGATTATCTGAAAATACTTCTATATGTATTTTAAAGTAATGTGAGCCAACATTATAGCATGTATCATAGTTTAAGAAAGACCTAAAGAATCCCTTCAATAAGTCCAAGTACTTTGACACGTTTCAAAGCCGACTAACAATGTAATGGCTTAACAAAGGAAAAAGTATAATTAATTTTTGTTTTGTTTCTTAACACTATTTTTAACTATGAAAAATCACACTACCAGAATATCTTTAAAACCACTACTATGAGATATGGAGAAAACAGAAACAAAATGAGAGTATGAGTCAGAAGGGGAATTTTACTGAAACAAAAAAATATTTTAAAGCACTACATTAAAGTATTTTAATAAATCACTTTGCAGCTTAAAATGAACAAAGTTGACAGTCAGCTGTGGCACCTATGAGACGTCTGAAAGTTTCTCGCTAATAGGCTGATCTAAACCAAAAAGTTGTAAGATTTCCAGTCAGACAAATACTTCTTCCATTACAGCTGTTTCCTATGTTGGCCACTTCACTGTATGTGTATGAATGGATGAATAAAATGATGAATAGGCTAAAGAGGTTTTCTCTCAACATGTATCCATTATTTCCCTCTTATCGTTTTAAAACAGGAAATTTTTTTTCACGTACTTTCTGAGTCACAGACCCATTTCTTGAGGAACTACTGCTACAGTAAATTGCACAGAAATACTTCAAACAAGGGTTATATATGCCACACTTAGAATTTCCAGCCCAAGACATGCAGGTGTTGCAACCAAAGCAAAACAATGGAATACTAACAGAGAATGAATATTCATTTACAGTTTTGCAAATAGAGCAAAACCAACCAGAACTTAAAGATTTACTTTCACAATTCACATGTTGAAAGTTGTTTTAAGGAATTTTTGATTGTGGTGTACAATACAAAGAGGTCTTTAGAACTAACTTGCTCTCAGTAGCACATCGCAATGAAAGTACAGGAGCACGCAACATCAATTCGTTATTGGAAATAACACACAAGTCAGTATCTCTGCTAGCTGCAGAATTCCAGGCTCTTAGCCCTCTGCAATATGTGGCCCTGAAATTGTTTGGATGTGCAATGTATTTAACTTAGTTTAAGTGGCAAACTCGCATGGTGCTATGCCTTAAAACCTTCCAATAAAAAGTATACATGCTGATTATAAATGCCAAGCGTGTTTAAAATGTCTTACCATTTCCAAAAGCAAAACCACACAATTTTATCAAGTATTTAAACAGCAATAAATAATTAGTTCTTCTGAAATTCAGAGAAGAGGTGCATTCAGCTATCACTAAAAACAGCATCAGGTACTAACACTTTAGTCTACATTATGTGTATGGTGAAACAACATACCCAACCTGACAGCACGCACACTGGAAAACATGAACATTTCTTTTAAGCAAACTCAAAGCCATAACACTGCTAATTTTTCCCCTAGTATTATTTTTCTGGGAAAATAGGTGAAGTTGAGAGAAAACAAAAAGTAGTAAAAGCTCTTCTTAAAATTCATCACCATATTTCACAGTCACATGAAGGAAGCTGTGCTCTGTGTATTCCAAGGGAATATCTTTGCAAGCATCTGGAAGTAGGTATTTTTCTCTTCTGCGTGGAAGTAGAGGGAGGGAGAAACCCCTCTCTTGAAGAAAAAAAGAAGACTGGACACTCAAATCCTGCTCCCTTTGCAGCCAGGATAAATACTGCCAGCTGCTACAGGGACAGGGGCAGGATTTTCTCCTTAGACCATCTGAACAACAGTTTCCTTCAGCCCTATCATTTAATTTTAAAGTGGAATTTGTTTTATACGGCAGACCAATAAGTACCCTAGGAGCTTGATTGGTTGGTGCCTAATGAAATTGCTTTTGCTGACATTAGACACATTAGGATAGTGATTAAAACACTTAATGATCCTTCCTGATTTTAAATTGCTAGCTTATATTTGTGAGATGCCATGAAAATATCCTTTTCCTTCCTTTCCTCCACCCTAATCCTGCTTCTCCTTGCCCTTTTTCTGTTCATGATCCTTAGAGTGGTGCTCACTCGCACCAGCCTGATCACAAACCAAGTGATAACATGATGTTGAACACTGTATTGTTTAAAATATGCACCCCCCCCCCCCCAAATATAAACACTGAAAGACGGTCATCAATAAAATACAATTTCCTGGTTCAAAGTTCAAACTGTTCCTAAATGTGGGAACACCGAGGATATTAATATAAAGTGAAATCCAAAGAACAAACTTTAACTTTCTACAATATTTGATGAAAAAAGATAATCCTGTGAATGTAAAAACAAGTATAAAAGCTTTACTTTTGAGCTTCAATGTGGAAGACAGTGATACATTGCCAGATAATAGTGTTGGAATGGCATTCCTATGACAACAAAGCCATTTTTCGTGCCCTTATACAAAAACTGCATACTATATCACCTTCCAGTGGGAAACGTGTATAAAATGAACGCTTATCCTCAAATACTGTTAAACACTAGAAATACCAGGTTTGGAAACTATGCCTGAAAAGGGGGGAAACACAAGAGCTGTAAAAAGTTCTGTTTTCCCTGATGAATCTGATCAAGATTCTTCAGCTGAAATTATACTTACAGAAAGAAGAAGTAAATTTGCTTATATACTAAAACCTGCTGTGCCAGAAGTGAATATATGGAATTTTATGCTGAATACAAACTTTAAGACAACAGAAACTAAAAAAGTAGAAATTTTTGTACATTTTAGCACCATTATAAAGTTAAGACTTGAATGCCGGGTCTGTCACTGTGGCTGTACCTTGCAGCTGGTGTAGCTAATGTGAAGCAGATTGACTTCAGTGATCTTTGAGAGAAGAATAACAGGATTTGCTGATCACAACAAATGATGTAAATTTACTTTTTCTTTTTTGTTTTGTGCGTCTTTTAAAATTAATTTTTAGCCTTATTTTTATCAGGCAGCCAGAGTGCATTTCTGTCAGCTAAATCCAAGTCCGAGTCCTTTTGGTCTCTGGATAGCTCGTATTGGTTCTGCGATCCCTTTGCCGTCCGGTCCTAGGCCCGTACCAGGGGTCCAGCCCATGCTCTGAAGCATTCTGTTCCCAATGTTGTTTTCTGGGATTGGTTGGGTGTTTTCACCTACAAACCCTGAGATTAAAGAAACACACAGCATTAATCAGCACTGCCTGCCATGTGGAGAAGAGCAGGATAATCTCCCTTAAAGCTTTAAACCTTCTTTATTCTCCTAATTCATCTAACGGGTTGCTAGAACAGGCTGTCTTTGCACATGTTGACCTCCTGGTTGCATATGATTCTAAATAATACAGTCTTACGCTTTGCTTTATTTTTAATGTTTTTAAAGACTCATTCAGTTTTCAAGAATGACAGATAGTGTCACAGATATTTTATATTCCAACACAGTGGATTTTACATCTAAGAACATCCATCACCTAAACAAGTCTACCAATACATCTGCAAGATTACCTGAATTTCTGGTCCTATGCAGTTACTAAGCCGAGGCACATCATAGTAATACAACCATCTTTCCATTATTAGCAATAAGTGGTCTACTATTCTGAAACTCAGCTATATTTTTACTCAGTTTCTCTTTTACTGAACTTTGTAAGAGAGATCTGACACATGGGAGTTTGCTTTTGGTATTTTCAATGCCACTAAGTGTTGTTTATACTTTTCCCCCCATACTACTGAGATCTCTGAGAAAAGCTGCACATGTACAGCAGAAAACATCATCATGATTGCAGGTATTGATAGAAAAGATTAATTTTTTGATAACAGATTTTATTTTTTTCCATGAATGCATCATAAAAATTAAGCAACAAAGCAGTTTTTTTTTCCCTTCATCAACCAAATTCCTCGAGCTAGAATATGGAGATGAGGCATGAATAAGCCTTCCCATATACAACTGTCTTACATGAGAGATACAGATGACATTTATTTCCAGAATCTGCATGAAAACTTATCAAATGACACCATACAAACTATTTTAAAAAGGGCTGCAGCTTTTGAACTAACATAAGCAGTTGCACATGGGTAGCTGGATTTTGTTTTCAGCTTTGCTAAACATCTTCCTCCCCCCGCTAACAGAACAAAATCCCACCATGTGTCCTGCTTCAAATTGTATCTGTTCAACTTTCTACCTATTCACTCTGGCCTGCTACTTTCTGAAAAATATGGTAGGAGGAGACTATGGTTTTGTGTTCTTGGGGACTATAATGTCTTCAGTCAAGGCTTTGCCACTGACAAGCTGGGTCATAATTGTATTAACTCACTAAAGAGCACAAGGAAAGTTGAATGTGCACTTCTGAAAAGCCTCAGAACACACACAGAAGAAACCACATTCAGACAGAAGTTCAAATGAGAGGCGCATGTTAAAAACCTTGCAATGATTGTGATGATGAATTTACAGTATTATCAGTAAGCACAGTCCAGAATTATCCACTATAGATCTGTTCACACTCAGTACTGGCTACATAAAAGGCAGATAGCTTTCTAGTGTCTTAGTTCCTGAGTCAAAGGAAACGGACTGAGAGGAGGCATCCTTTAATACCGGTTTGAAGCTATGCTTACAATAAAGGCTTTTAAGTCAGCAGCTTCCAATCCCCAAGAGGGGTCCTCTTGAACTGACCAGCACAAAATTCAATGTCCAAACTTCCTTTCTTTTCAGGCCCCCACAGGCAGATGCAATTTTCATACACAAGTCCCTGACACTGACTGGCATACACAACACAGGCTTTGCAACCTTCTTAGTTATACTTTCTAGGTCAAAGAAGGGAAAGAAAAAAGGTCACTGTTCAACTAAGGTTCTGGTAAGCCTCTCAGGTAAAATCCTGAAAGTGTGTTTTGGTGCACCTTTTACAACACGTGATGGTAAGAAATGGAACATCATTCCAATATACATCCTTGGAATAATTAAGGGAGAAACTTGACAGGGAAAAATGATCTAACAGCTGCCAAGCAGGAAAGAGCAAGGTTGTATTTCATGGCATCTAAGAACTGGAAAAATGAAGCCATTTGTAATGCTGCTTAGGCATAGACAGCCATGCTGCTGGAATGATATGCAAGGCATAGCCTGAGACAACTTAAACAGCTTTTTTGTTAGTCTATTTAGAGGAAAGACCCACAGACCTTTTCCTGTAACAGATGTACCTTTCTATATGGATTTGAATTCTAAAGACAGCCAGAGCCACCTCACAAAAAAAGATAAATGAAAGATAAATTGTGTTATTTAATAAACTGATGTTTCTACTTTTGATATTTTTTGAAGTAGCTCAGCAGGTTTTTTCTGTGACTGACAGGACTATTGGAATACTTTTGTTTTTAAAGATATAATTACTTCTAGAATGTATACTATTTTCCCCTCCACTGTACATACTTCTGCATCTCCTGTTAGAAGCCTGAAAGCTCTCCTGAAGAGTTCTGCTCTTATTCATCACCAGATTAAAAAACAGAAAAGAAAAGGAGCAGAAACCACCATAAACTTGGCTTCACAACCCACTTTTGAGCAAACAGTCAGACAACATACAGTGCCCAAAGGCTGATGTGTTTGGAGGCTTTGTATTTCAGCAAGAATAAGGCCAAATCAGAAAGCCACCCAACTTGCCTATAATACTAATTGACCACTTACTCTTTCTCTTACTCCTTCATTTGCAAATGAAGTGAATATGGATAGCTTTTGATTTTGAAAAATATTTAATATATGCAGACCACTCCTTTTCAATAGTCAGGTTTCACATAAATATCTACATCTGTCTTTAATATCCCTGCAATTTTCAACTGTCATTTGGAAGATTTATCTGTAATGCAACGTATTTCACTTGATTCAGAGGAATATGGACAATGGTATTGCCCTCTTCCTCCATTACACCACCAATCGCCAATTGTAAGACAAAATCTGCATTGCTGGTTGATTGCCTGACAGGAGAGAGCTGCTAAAAATCAGGCTACACTGTGTACTATTCCCCTGACCCCCATTCCTGTGCTTTGGGCTTTTATTTTCTAATTAAAAGCAGTAATTGTCCTTTCAATATTCATCTTCAAGTTCAATTTTTAATTCATGCCTATGGCACTTCTTGGACTAGCCAGTAGGGCCTGTTAGAGAGAATGGTCCAAGCACATTGGCCTTGAAAGTGGCTGTTATCTCTGGGATGTGATCAGCCTTGACCCACCCAGGAGCAAGAGCAAAAGAACCCATTGCACTGTCCTACAAAACATAACCATGCAAAACCCACGCAAGAAAAACCTGTTTCTAAGTTTACTGCTCTGTGAGGTTCTGTGGGGTTCCAGGAGCTACGAGGAACGCACAGACAAAATATTTTTAGCAACCCTAACAACTTGATGCTGCAGATGAGTAGTCTGCATGTAAAGTGCCTGCCGTTACGCAAGCAAGGAGCAAACACTGAGGAACAGCAACCTGCTTGAAAAGACAGCACTGTAAAATGTCCTCACTTATGTTCCTTCTCTTTGCAATACTGGTAAATGAAAGTTAGAAAAAAAAAAGACAATCCTAAAACCTTTGTGTATATGAACAGACACACTTCAAGGTCTACACATATGACATTACATACACGGAAGAGGGAAGCTCTGAGCAGAGAGGCAAAACTGTGAAGGGGGAAAACAAAAAATTTTGTTTAATTTTGGTATGATATTTATGACGGCATTAAAGGCATGTTTCAATGAAAAATAAAGGTATGTCGTTTTTTCTTAGCAGCTGTTGAGACAGGTATGTCCTGGTTAAACAGTACACTAGCATTCAGTGCCATACCCTTGATTTTACAGTGATTGCCATGAATTAATTTAATTCCATCTGTAAGCTAAAATCAGATCAGAGGTCTAATGCTGCTGCAGGCTCCACATCTGTTTAATCATTTTTGGATACAACAGCTTGCAAAAGTTCAGGTTTTAAATTTGCTTCATATTTAAGGAACAATGTTACACCAGTGTGCAACATCTCCAGCCGGAAACAAATGAGCCTGTGCACAGTTCTGGTCTGACAGATAAATTCTATTTGCAAAATGCTTCTAAAAAAAAATAAATATCACTATTTAGGTTATCATTTATTACAGAATAATAAAGGAAATGTGATCCTATAAGCCATTATTGTGACAATATTTATACGGCCCAATTGCTGGATAAGAATAAAGCACGTTTAGTTTATATTGGGGTGACTAAAACCAGAATATTGCTAGCTTCAATCTCTTAACCCTATCTAAGAAAGTGTGGGGTTTTTTTTGTTTTGTTTTTTTTTTTTGTGTGTGTGTTTTTTAAACAGTTCTGAGAAAATGACACTGTACATAAATACAGTCGTGGCCTTTCATCTTTCTTTTATACGATTAAGACTTGTGAGCAGAACAGCAATGACTTTGCAGAGCATACATACCAGAACTATTATTTCCTCTTCTATCACTCCCAGCAGCCTTAAATCCTTTAAATCCTTTCCTAGAAGGATCTTTTTTTTGCCTGGGTAATTTTTGCAATACATGGCCTGCTAACCCTTACCCCCTACCCTGGATCTCACTTATGTCTATCACAGCAGAGTCAGTCTTTCTACCCTCAAATCTTCCAAGGAGCATTGTGGATGGTAATTCACTTGCGTAATTGGCTCAAGAGATGAAAATCTTGTATCTGCCTCTCTTAGCCACTAATCTATCCAGCTGACTGCAAGCCTAATTGGCAGCTTGTTTAGTAATTTGGCTCCTAAAGTGTTGTATTGATGTTGGATAAACAGCCAATGGAAGGAGAAACGATACATGCTGCTTCATTTTAAAAGCTAGTGCACATTCCCCTTCATTTTCTGAAAGCATTTAATATTCCATCTCTCCTTTTGCTGTTCTGACTCCTCACTAGACAGATGAGCTCAGAACAGTAGGGACTGATCCTGAGACACAAGACAATTTTACAAGGAATTTAATCAGAATAACACATTGCTGCATCTTCTTATGCCAGCTCTAACTAGCAAAATGGGAATCACACTGCCTGGATGCTTGTATTGTTAAAAGTGGTTTGGATAATTGTGCAGTCAGCATCATGAGCAGAGCCGACAGCCGTACTGTGATTTCTAAAATCAGTGCTTTTCAAAATTCAGTATACTATGGCTGCATAGCCAAAAAAAACCCCCACCATGTTATGAA